CATTCTAATCTCTGGTGCGATGTACTGCGAGTGTACCGTAAGGTATACTGTGTGCTACGGTCTGTTATACACTCTACTTTACACATTCTAATCTCTAGTGTGGTGTACTGCGAGTGTACCGTAAGGTATACTGTGTGCTACGGTCTGTTATACACTCTACTCTACACATTCTAATCTCTGGTGCGGTGTACTGCGTGTGTACCGTAAGGTATACTGTGTGCTACGGTCTGTTATACACTCTATTTTACACATTCTAATCTCTGGTGCGGTGTACTGCGTGTGTACCGTAGGGTATACTGTGTGCTACGGTCTGTTATACACTCTACTCTACACATTCTAATCTCTGGTGCGGTGTACTGCGTGTGTACCGTAGGGTATACTGTGTGCTACGGTCTGTTATACACTCTACTCTACACATTCTAGTCTCTGGTGCGGTGTACTGCGTGTGTACCGTAGGGTATACTGTGTGCTACGGTCTGTTATACACTCTACTCTACACATTCTAGTCTCTGGTGTGGTGTACTGCGTGTGTACATTGTATGGTGTGTGTAATGCATGGGCAGTTGTATGATGTAGTGTAGTGTGTGTACTGTAGTGTAGTGTAATTACTACAGTGTGTACTGTATGTGGTACAGTGCATAATGTACTGTAGTGTAATGACTACAGTGTGTACTGTATGCAGTGCAGTGTGTACTGTAGTGTAATGTAATTACTACAGTGTGTACTGTATGCAGTGTAGTGTGTACTGTAGTGTAATGTATGGGCAGTTGTATGATGTAGTGTGGTGTGTGTACTGTACTGTAGTGTGATTACTAGTGTGTACTGTATGTGGTACAGTGTGTACACTGTACTGTAATTACTACAGTGTGTACTGTATGCAGTGTTGTGTGTATACTGTACTGTAATGACTACAGTGTGTACTGTATGTAGTGCACGGCAGTGGAATACTGTACATACTGTTGTGCATGTACTACTGTACATATACTGTATGTACAGTAGTACATGCGGTACAGTACTGCATACCGTATACTGTGGTGATTACACAACACGTACGGTACTGTATACGCTATACAGTACAGTGTATACAGTACACATATAGTGTACACTGCTGCACGTGTCTGCAGTGCACGTGTCGTGAGCCGTGGGTGTACTGTATATACACTGTAGTGTATATACAGTAGTGTATACAGTACAGTGTAGTGTATACACTACAGTGTATACAGTATAGTGTATACAGTACACCCACGGCTCACGCCACGTGCACTGCAGACACGTGCAGCAGTATACAGTACCTGTGCTGTATACACTGTGCTGTATACACTATACACTACTGTGTATACACTGTGCTGTATACACTGTGCTGTATACACTATACACTACTGTGTATACACTGTGCTGTATACACTGTGCTGTATACACTATACACTACTGTGTAGTGCAGCGTGTATACAGGACAGTGTATATACAGTACGCGTACTGTATACACGCTGCACTACACAGTAGTGTATACCGCACAATGTATACACTACAGTGTATACAGTACAGGTACTGTACTGCTGCACGTGCTGCAGTGCACGTGGTGTGAGCCGTGGGTGTACTGTATACACTACAGTGTATACACTGTAGTGTATACAGTACAGGTACTGTACTGTATACAGTATAGTGTATACAGTATACACGCTGCACTACACAGTAGTGTATACCGCACAATGTATACACTACAGTGTATACAGTACAGGTACTGTACTGCTGCACGTGCTGCAGTGCACGTGGTGTGAGCCGTGGGTGTACTGTATACACTACAGTGTATACACTGTAGTGTATACAGTACAGGTACTGTACTGCTGCACGTGCTGCAGTGCACGTGGTGTGAGCCGTGGGTGTACTGTATACACTACAGTGTATACACTGTAGTGTATACAGTACAGGTACTGTACTGCTGCACGTGCTGCAGTGCACGTGGTGTGAGCCGTGGGTGTACTGTATACACTACAGTGTATACACTGTAGTGTATACAGTACAGGTACTGTACTGCTGCACGTGCTGCAGTGCACGTGGTGTGAGCCGTGGGTGTACTGTATACACTACAGTGTATACACTGTAGTGTATACAGTACAGGTACTGTACTGCTGCACGTGCTGCAGTGCACGTGGTGTGAGCCGTGGGTGTACTGTATACACTACAGTGTATACACTGTAGTGTATACAGTACAGGTACTGTACTGCTGCACGTGCTGCAGTGCACGTGGTGTGAGCCGTGGGTGTACTGTATACACTACAGTGTATACACTGTAGTGTATACAGTACAGGTACTGTACTGCTGCACGTGCTGCAGTGCACGTGGTGTGAGCCGTGGGTGTACTGTATACAGTACAGTGCATACATTACAGTGTATATACAGTACAGGTACTGTACTGCTGCACGTGCTGCAGTGCACGTGGTGCGAGCCGTGGGTGTACTGTATACAGTACAGTGCATACATTACAGTGTATATACAGTACAGGTACTGTACTGCTGCACGTGCTGCAGTGCACGTGGTGCGAGCCGTGGGTGTACTGTATACAGTACAGTGCATACATTGTAGTGTATATACAGTACAGGTACTGTACTGCTGCACGTGCTGCAGTGCACGTGGTGTGAGCCGTGGGTGTACTGTATACAGTACAGTGCATACATTACAGTGTATATACAGTACAGGTACTGTATTGCTGCACGTGCAGCAGTGCACGTGGTGCGAGCCGTGGGTGTACTGTATACAGTACAGTGCATACATTACAGTGTATATACAGTACAGGTACTGTACTGCTGCACGTGCAGCAGTGCACGTGGTGCGAGCCGTGGGTGTACTGTATACAGTACAGTGCATACATTACAGTGTATATACAGTACAGGTACTGTACTGCTGCACGTGCTGCAGTGCACGTGGTGCGAGCCGTGGGTGTACTGTATACAGTACAGTGCATACATTACAGTGTATATACAGTACAGGTACTGTACTGCTGCACGTGCTGCAGTGCACGTGATGCGAGCCGTGGGTGTACTGTATACAGTACAGTGCATACATTACAGTGTATATACAGTACAGGTACTGTACTGCTGCACGTGCTGCAGTGCACGTGGTGTGAGCCGTGGGTGTACTGTATACAGTACAGTGCATACATTGTAGTGTATACAGTACAGGTACTGTACTGTATACACGTGCTGCAGTGCACGTGGTGTGAGCCGTGGGTGTACTGTATACAGTACAGTGCATACAGTACAGTGTATACAGTACAGGTACTGTACTGTATACACGTGCTGCAGTGCACGTGGTGTGAGCCGTGGGTGTACTGTATACACTACAGTGCATACAGTACAGTGTATACAGTACAGGTACTGTACTGTATACACGTGCTGCAGTGCACGTGGTGCGAGCCGTGGGTGGCGCTCTGCGCTGCCGTGCAGCCCGCCACGAGGACTCCTCTCACTCATAACATCAACACCATCACCACCATCACCATCATCACCATCATCTCTCTCTCTCACAGTCTCACAACACCACCACGAGGACTCCTCCATTCGCCTGTTGACTCCTCTCACTCATAACATCAACACCATCATCATCATCACCATCATCTCTCTCTCTCACAGTCTCACAACACCACCACGAGGACTCCTCCATTCGCCTGTTGACTCCTCTTACTCATAACATCAACACCATCACCACCATCACCAACACCATCATCATCATCTCTCACAGTCTCACTCTCACTCACAGTCTCACTCACAGTCTCACAACACCACCACGAGGACTCCTCCCTTCGCCTGTTGACTCCTCGCACTCATAACATCAACACCATCACCACCATCACCAACACCATCATCATCATCTCTCTCTCTCACAGTCTCACTCTCACTCACAGTCTCACTCACAGTCTCACAACACCAACACCACCACGAGGACTCCTCCCTCCCTTCGCCTGTTGACTCCTCGCACTCATAACATCACCATCATCACCATCATCATCATCTCTCTCTCACAGTCTCCCTCTTACAGTCTCACACTCACTCACAGTCTCACAACACCACCACCAAACACCATCACCAACATCACCACCACTACACCATCATCATCTCTCTCTCTCACAGTCTCCCTCTTACTCAGTCTCACTCACAACACCCCCACCACCACCACCAACACACACCATCATCTATCTCAGTCTCTCACTCACACCACCACCACACCATCTCTCTCACTCCCTCTCACACACACTCACACACACACACACGCCTCTCTCACACACACACGCACACACACACACGCCTCTCTCACACACACTCACACACACACACACGCCTCTCTCACACACACACACTCACACACACACGCCTCTCTCACACACACTCACACACACACACACGCCTCTCTCACACACACACGCACACACACACGCCTCTCTCACACACACTCACACACACACTCACACACACACACACGCCTCTCTCACACACACTCACACACACACACGCCTCTCTCACACACACTCACACACACACTCACACACACACACACGCCTCTCTCACACACACACACTCACACACGCACGCCTCTCTCACTCACACACACTCACACACACACTCACACACACACACACGCCTCTCTCACACACACTCACACACACACACGCCTCTCTCACACACACTCACACACACACACACTCACACACACACACACGCCTCTCTCACACACACACACTCACACACACGCCTCTCTCACACACACACACTCACACACGCACGCCTCTCTCACACACACACACTCACACACACACACGCCTCTCTCACACACACACACTCACACACACACACACTCACACACACACACGCCTCTCTCACACACACACACTCACACACGCACGCCTCTCTCACACACACACACTCACACACGCACGCCTCTCTCACACACACACACTCACACACACACACACTCACACACACACACACTCACACACACACACGCCTCTCTCACTCACACACGCCTCTCTCACACACACTCACACACACACACACACGCCTCTCTCACTCACACACGCCTCTCTCACACGCGCACACACAACAACACAAACATTGGCGTCACGTAGCCCGCACTCCCACATCGACACAGAGGAAGCAGCTACCCCGTGACACATCACTCCGTGTCTCTGTGTGTGTCTCTGTGTGTGTCTCCCTTACTCTCTCCCTGTGTCACACGACTATCATACAGCAAGATAGCCACCCAGTGACACATCACTCCGTGTGTGTGTCTGTGTGTGTGTCTCTGTGTGTCTCTGTGTGTGTGTGTCTCTCTCCCTGTGTCACACGACTGTCATACAGCAAGACAGCCACCCAGTGACACATCACTCCGTGTCTCTGTGTGTGTGTCTCTGTGTGTGTGTCTCTGTGTGTCTCTGTGTGTGTCTCTGTGTGTGTGTCTCTGTGTGTGTGTCTCTGTGTGTGTCTGTGTGTGTGTGTCTCTGTGTGTGTCTCTGTGTGTCTCTGTGTGTGTCTCTCCCTGTGTCACACGACTATCATACATCAAGACAGCCACCCAGTGACACATCACTCCGTGTCTCTGTGTGTGTGTGTCTCTGTGTGTGTGTCTCTGTGTGTGTGTGTCTCTGTGTGTGTGTGTCTGTGTGTGTGTGTCTCTGTGTGTGTCTGTGTGTGTGTCTCTGTGTGTGTGTCTCTGTGTGTGTGTGTGTGTCTGTGTGTGTCTCTGTGTGTGTCTCTCCCTGTGTCACACGACTATCATACAGCAGCAAGGCGCCGTCTTCCTCTGCCAGGTGAGTGGTGACGATTATATCAGCAGCAGCATCATCATCATCAGCACCACCACCACCATCATCAGCACCACCACCACCATCATCAGCACCACCACCACCATCACCACCACCACCACCATCATCAGCACCACCATCATCAGCACCACCACCACCATCATCAGCACCACCACCACCATCATCAGCACCACCACCATCATCAGCACCACCATCATCATCATCACCACCACCACCATCATCAGCACCACCACCACCATCATCAGCACCACCACCACCATCATCAGCACCACCATCACCACCACCACCATCATCAGCACCACCACCATCAGCAGCACCACCATCAGCAGCATCATCAGCACCACCATCACCACCACCATCATCAGCACCACCACCACCATCAGCACCACCACCATCATCAGCACCACCACCACCATCATCAGCACCACCATCACCATCATCAGCACCACCATCACCATCATCAGCACCACCACCACCATCATCAGCACCACCACCATCAGCACCACCACCATCATCAGCACCACCACCACCATCATCAGCACCACCACCACCATCATCAGCACCACCACCATCATCAGCACCACCATCACCATCATCAGCACCATCATCAGCACCACCACCACCATCATCAGCATCAGCAGTAAAATCCATAAATCATCCGCAGCGTCGCCGTTATCATTACCAACACAATCATCATCATCAGCAGCAGCAAAATCATAACTCACCATCGCCATCATCATCAATATAATTTATCATCAAAACCATCATCAGCAGCACAACCATCGTCATCATCAGCAGCACAACCATAATCATCAGCAGCACAACCATCGTCATCATGAAACGGCAGTAATTTAATATTCGGTAACACAGCGGGAGATGTGACGCTTATTGTACAGTAGTAGCATCATCAGCAGCAGCATAAACATCACTACAGTATAATTAAGTAGCATCAGTAGCATCAACAGCAGTAGCATCAGCAGTCAGCAAAGGGAGATATCAGCATCAGCGGCATCAGTATCAGCATCGCCACCATCGCCAGCAGCAGCAGTAGCATCAGTAGCAGCAGTAGCATCAGCAGCAGCAGTAGCATCAGCAGCAGTAGCATCAGCAGTAGCAGCAGCAGTAGCATCAGTAGCAGCAGTAGCATCAGCAGCATCAGTAGCAGCAGCAGCATCATCAGTCAGCAAAGGGCGATATCAGCATCAGCGGCATCAGTATCAGCATCGCCACCATCGCCAGCAGCAGCAGTAGTAGCAGCAGCAGTAGCATCAGCAGCAGCAGCATCAGTAGCAGCAGCAGCAGCAGCCACACCTCTTCTCGAAGCTACAGCGCAACACGCGGTGACTTGAATCAAGGTGTCGCTCAGTGACTGAGTCGGTGGGTGACTGAGTGAGTGAGTGACTGAGTCGGTGGGTGACTGAGTGAGTGAGTGACTGAGTCGGTGGGTGACTGAGTCGGTGGGTGACTGAGTCGGTGGGTGACTGAGTCGGTGGGTGACTGGCTGGGTGGGTGACTGGCTGGGTGGGTGACTGACTGAGTGAGTGACTGAGTCAGTGGGTGACTGAGTCGGTGGGTGACTGGCTGGGTGGGTGACTGGCTGGGTGGATGACTGAGTCAGTGAGTGACTGGCTGAGTGAGTGACTGGCTGGGTGGGTGACTGGCTGGGTGGGTGACTGACTCGGTGGGTGACTGGCTGAGTGGGTGACTGGCTGAGTGCGTGACTGGCTGAGTGGGTGACTGAGTCAGTGATTGACTAGCTGAGTGAGTGACTGGCTGAGTGGGTGACTGGCTGAGTGGGTGACTGAGTCAGTGATTGACTAGCTGAGTGAGTGACTGGCTGGGTGGGTGACTGGCTGAGTGGGTGACTGAGTCAGTGATTGACTAGCTGAGTGAGTGACTGGCTGAGTGGGTGACTGGCTGAGTGGGTGACTGAGTCAGTGATTGACTAGCTGAGTGAGTGACTGGCTGGGTGGGTGACTGGCTGGGTGGGTGACTGAGTCAGTGGGTGACTGGCTGAGTGGGTGACTGGCTGAGTGGGTGACTGGCTGAGTGGGTGACTGAGTCAGTGATTGACTAGCTGAGTGAGTGACTGGCTGAGTGGGTGACTGGCTGAGTGGGTGACTGAGTCAGTGATTGACTAGCTGAGTGAGTGACTGGCTGGGTGGGTGACTGGCTGGGTGGGTGACTGACTCGGTGGGTGACTGGCTGGGTGGGTGGGTGACTGGCTGGGTGGGTGACTGGCTGGGTGACTGAGTTGGCAACTGACTGAGTGGCTGGCTGGCTGGGTGGCTTGCTGACTGCCTGAGTTGGCAACTGACTGAGTGGGTGGCTGGGTGGCTTACTGGCTGGATAGCTAACGGCTTGGGTGACTTGCTCAAATGGTGAACTCGCTGGATGGATGACTGATGTCAAGCTGGCTGATGTTGGGTGGGTCGGTGAATGGGTGTGGGTGGTCGTCTCGTTCGTAATGTGTCTTGTGGTGGGCGGATATCTGGGTGACTGGTAGTCGAACTGGCTGATTGCCTGCCTGGGCTGGGTGAGTTGATGGGTGGGTGACTGGGTGTGTGGGTGGGTGACTGGGTGTGTGGGTGGGTGGGTGACTGGGTGTGTGGGTGGGTGACTGGGTGTGTGGGTGGGTGACTGGGTGTGTGGGTGGGTGGGTGTGTGGGTGGGTGGGTGACTGGGTGTGTGGGTGGGTGGGTGATTGGGTGTGTGGGTGGGTGGCTGGGTGGGTGGGTGGGTGTGTGGGTGGGTGGGTGACTGGGTGTGTGGGTGGGTGGGTGACTGGGTGTGTGTGTGGGTGGGTGACTGGGTGTGTGGGTGGGTGGGTAACTGGGTGTGTGGGTGGGTGGGTGACTGGGTGTGTGGGTGGGTGGGTGACTGGGTGTGTGGGTGGATGACTGGGTGTGTGGATGGGTGGGTGACTGGGTGTGTGTGTGGGTGGGTGACTGGGTGTGTGGGTGGGTGGGTGGGTGACTGGGTGTGTGGTGGGTGACTGGGTGTGTGGGTGGGTGACTGGGTGTGTGGGTGGGTGGGTGACTGGGTGTGTGGGTGGGTGACTGGGTGTGTGGGTGGGTGGGTGACTGGGTGTGTGGGTGGGTGACTGGGTGGGTGGGTGGGTGACTGGGTGTGTGGGTGGGTGACTGGGTGTGTGGGTGGGTGGGTGGGTGACTGGGTGTGTGAGTGGGTGGGTGACTGGGTGTGTGGGTGGGTGGGTGATTGGGTGTGTGGGTGGGTGGCTGGGTGTGTGGGTGGGTGGGTGACTGGGTGTGTGGGTGGGTGACTGGGTGTGTGGGTGGGTGACTGGGTGTGTGGGTGGGTGGGTGACTGGGTGTGTGGGTGGGTGGGTGACTGGGTGTGTGGGTGGGTGACTGGGTGTGTGGGTGGTTGAGTTGATGGGTGTGTGGGTGGGTGGGTGACTGGGTGTGTGGGTGGGTGGGTGATTGGGTGTGTGGGTGGGTGGCTGGGTGTGTGGGTGGGTGGGTGACTGGGTGTGTGGATGGGTGGGTGACTGGGTGTGTGGGTGGGTGGGTGACTGGGTGTGTGGGTGGGTGGGTGACTGGGTGTGTGGGTGTGTGGGTGACTGAGTGTGTGGGTGGGTGACTGGGTGTGTGTGTGGGTGGGTGACTGGGTGTGTGGGTTGGTGACTGGGTGTGTGGGTGGGTGGGTGACTGGGTGGGTGGGTGGGTGGGTGACTGGGTGTGTGGGTGGGTGGGTGACTGGGTGTGTGGGTGGGTGGGTGACTGGGTGTGTGGGTGGGTGGGTGACTGGGTGTGTGGGTGGGTGACTGGGTGTGTGGGTGGGTGACTGGGTGTGTGGGTGGGTGGGTGACTGGGTGGCTGGGTGGGTGACTGGGTGGCTGGGTAAGTGACTGGGTGGGTGGGTGACTTGCTAGCTGAGTGGCTGACTGACCGTCTGCCTGGGTGTCTGGTTGGGTGACCAGTGATTCGCAAATTACACGAATTGGGTTAGCTAGGCACACAAGGGGAAGTATGTGCCGGCTGGCTGGTGTGTGTGTATTATATTACCTGGAGTGTGTGTGTAATGTGTGGGGTGTGTGTATATTGCCTGGGGTGTGTGTGTGTATATATGTATTGTCTGGGGTGTGTGTGTGTGTAATGCCTAGGGTGTGTGTGTGTGTAATGCCTGGGGTGTCTGTGTGTGTGTTTGATTCCTGGGGTGTGTGTGTGTGATGTCTGGGGTGTCTGTAATGTCTGGGGTGTGTGTGTGTATATGTAATGTCTGGGGTATGTGTGTGTGTAATGTCTGGTGTGTGTGTGTGTGTAATGTCTGGTGTGTGTGTGTGTAATGTCTGGTGTGTGTGTGTGTAATGTCTGGTGTGTGTGTGTGTAATGTCTGGTGTGTGTGTGTGTGTGTAATGTCTGGTGTGTGTGTGTGTAATGTCTGGGGTGTGTGTGTGTAATGTCTGGTGTGTGTGTGTGTAATGTGTGGGGTGTGTGTGTGTAATGTCTGGGGTGTCTGTGTGTGTGTGATTCCTGGGGTGTGTGAGTGTAATGCCTGACGTGTGTATGCGTCTTGCCAGGTGTGTGTAATACTGTGTGTGTGTAATGCCTGGGGATGTGTGTGTGTGTTGCATAGGGTGTGTGTGCGTATATTGCCTGGTGTATGTGTGTATATTTAATGCCTGGTGTGTATTGTGTGTATGTAATGCCTGGGGTGTCTGTGTATGTAATGCATGGGGTGTGTGTATTGCATGGGCTGTGTGTATTGCCTGGTGTGTCTGTGTGTATTGCCTGGGGTGGGTGTATTGTATGGGCTGTGTGTGTGTGTATTGCCTGGGTTGTGTGTGTGTGTGTATTGCCTGGGGTGTCTGTGTGTGTGTATTGTATGGGCTGTGTGTGTGTATATTGCCTGGTGTGTGTATTGTATGGGCTGTAGGTGTATTGCCTGGGGTGTGTGTGTGTGTATTGTATGGGCTGTGTGTGTATATTGCCTGGTGTGTGTGTGTTGTATGGGCTATGTGT